CCATCGCTCCACAGGTGAAAGATGAGGCTCTCTACTCCTGTAATGAATTAGTCTCAGAAACCCAGATGGGCAGTTCTATCCTAAGAGTTGGAATCCACTTAATGGTTGTGGGTTTGAGAGTTGCCAAATGGCTGCAAGGTGGCTCTTTTGTCAAGTGTTTCCGACCTATTTATTCCCCACCAAGGTGATCACATTCATAACTCCCACCTCATCCCCAAACCAGAAACATGCCTTGTCCCCATTTCCTCACATCTGCTTGATCAGTGAGCCCAAAAATGCCAACATTAAACCCCAGGATATCTTTCCAAACGAACTCACTGCTTCACAGAGTAGCCACTGCTCCACCCTCTGTCCCCTGGGAACATAGGAACCCATCCAAGTAACAGACAGAAGAGACCACAAAAATGCAAGCCCCTTGTCCTTGAGCTGATTCCGATTCATAGCAGCCCTGCAGGATACACTAGAAGTGCCCCATCGGGGTTTCCAGGGCAGCCTGCAGCATCTCTCTCTCACAGAATGCGTACCCAGCCTTTAGGTCAGCAGCGGAGCACTTTACAAACCCTGTGCCACCAGGGCGCCCTCCTCAACACTGACTGTTTATTCAGTGCCTTCCAAACTCCTGGTGGTGCTGCTCGAGAGGGTGCCGTGGGCGTCCATTCGTGCTCGTCCCTCAGACCCACTGAAAAGTCACGCCCTGCAAAATGTGTACACAACACACACCCTTCCCCTAAACTTGAAGGAAGAAAGGGGGAGCCAGGTCAAGTTCCTTTCTTCTGTGCATCTTCCCATGGTATTTTGTCCACACTTCCTTAGAGCCCTTACGGCTGCGTAGACAGTCCTTCTCAAGGCTGTCCGCAGAAGTGCACGGATGGCAGAGGAAAGCGTATTAGATTCACAGCCCACTGGAAAGACTAAACAAATGTGGTCTATCCTCACCTCTGAAAAATGGAAAATAGGCATTCTGTTTCCTACTATATATTTAATGTTAAAATATGTCAACTTATTTTTTCTTGAATAAAATTTACCTTTCCCAAGGGTGATGGATAGCTTGAAATTTCAAGTATTCCTGAAACATGGCCTGGTCTCCCCAAGGCTGCATCTGTACTCGTGTTACTCAAGCTGGGAAGCGCAAAGCATTATCATTTATTTCTCTGTCTACTTCTCCCAATCGATCATAAGTACTTCAATCACAGAAACAAGATCTTTTAGCTCTGTATTCCCAGTATTAAATTCAGTATCTAACAGAGAGTTAGTGTTCCGTATTGATTCGAAAAAGAAGAAAAGTTCAATTTTGGAATGGTGTAAATGCTGTCATTGTAAAACATTAAAATTTTGGTTCTTTTTCTCAGAAAAAAGTATGGCTACCAATATTTTGAAAGTCAAAATGAAATTATCTTTAAAAATTATCTTCTAGCCTACATACTGTAAATTCTGTTTTCCCCTCTCCTTCTTCTAAAGTTAAGCATGTTAAGCACACAGATGAGATCACATGTTGTCAGGATTCGGCTCCATGAACTCGCACACTCGGTACGCTCACGTGCCGCACATCTGTATGAAAACCCCAAAGCCTCGATCGCACTGTCACCAAGTCAATTCAGATCCATGCAGCCCTGTAGGGCAGAGTAGAACTGCCCCTTTGAGATGCTCAGATTATTGAAATCATCTTTCTCCTGTGGAGTTCTCTGTGCAACTGTCTCCCCACTGGTGCTCAGCCTTCAGAACTTGAACCACTTACATCTCCCAGTAGACTCTGTTCCTTCTCTGCAGCTCAAGGAGTTGTCCCCAACCCCAAGACATTTGACAGTATCTGGAGACTCGGCGCGGGGGACAGACGGGCTCTCTACTTCTGCAAGAGGCACAGCCTCAGAGACTCTGTCCTACATGGTCACTGAGTGGGAAACTTTAGCTTCATAATAGGAGGATTCTACTGACATCTAGTGGGTAGAGGCCTGGTTGCTGCTGAATATACTATAAACCACAGGCAGGAGAGCCTCCTACAGCAAAGAATTAACCTGGTTCAAAACACCAGTAGTGCTAAGATTGAGGGTAATGTTTTATAAAGAATGGGTGGATTGTTTGTACTTTTTAAGTGGCTTGTTTGTATTATGGAAGCACAGTTTTATTAATAGTTACCTCAAAAAAACAAATTCAAACTCACTGCATCAAGTTGCTTCCCACTCTCAGTAAGCCTGTAGGACAGGGTAGAAATGCCCTGTGGTTCTCCATGACTGTAAATCTCATTGGGAGTAGAAAGCCTCAGTTTCCCCCAGCAGAGCTGCTAGTGGTTTCAAGCTGCTGACCTTGCAGTTCAAATCATAACCCTCTATGCTAACAAGCCTCCTCTTAATACCCCTGGGTGGAACAAACAGTTAATTTGCTTGACTTGAGGTTTGAATCTGCACAGGCACCTTGGAAGAAAAGTACCTGACTATCTACTTCTGAAAAATATGCGATTGTAAACCTGGTAGAACACAGTTCCTACTCTGACATGCACAGATTTTCAATGGTCAAATTGTTTCAGCTTGACAACCATTAAGTTGTTGCTTTTTGTGAGGTTTTTCTCTTTTAAGAGGAATTGAACTGTTTCACAGATTTTTAAAAATTTAATAGAAATGTCATACTTTGAAAGAAGGCACATGGCATAGGGGAAGGCTTATTAGGCTTCTTGTTAGCCTCAGGTTCATTTTCTCGCACTTGTGAGCAGTTGAGCCTTGGACTGCTTTTATGCAACTGTTTTATTACTTGTGTTAGTCTGGGTAGACTAGAAAAACAAATCCACAGAAACTCATATGCATATAAGAGAGAGTTTTATATAAAGGGTAAATGTACATTAAGAAAGCATCCCAACCCAGTGCTGCCCAAGCCCATAAGTCCAACATTAGCCCATAAGTCCGACTCCGATCTACAAAGCCCTCCTCCATCTCACAAAACACACGCAATGATGCCGACTGCAGGAGGAAAGCCGAGTCAGTGAGCATGTAAGCCTCTCAGCGCTGGCAGGGGTCTCCACACGGGTGCTCCAGAAAGCAAGAGACCCAAGAACTAGAAGGGGAGGCTCACTGGGCCATTTATTTCTCAGTCCTTCAAGTACTCCCACATGTTATAGGCCAGGTTGGCACAATAAACCTTAACTATCTCATTACTGGAAAAGAAAGGATAATACTTAGATAAGAGAGTCTTGATAATTAATAAGAAAGTCATGTAAAAGAGTGGTCACCCAGAGGGAAAGATAAACATCATTTGGAGTCGTTGGCTCATTTGCAAATTTATACTAGTGGTCAAGGGTACGGCTTTGGATGAACAAACACTATCTGGACTCTGGCTCTGGAGTGAACTTGACTGCAGTCAGTATCCATGGACTAACTACTTTATTCCTAAATCTCGTCCCTGGTAAAATGGTGACAATCCCATCACCCTCTCGCTGTGTTGTGAGGAAAGATTGAGGCCGCAGCTGTAAGCAGTGGTACGCAGAATAAGCACTAATGAGTGAAAGTAGTGAGTGCCTACACCCTGTGAGTTCTGTCCTTGTACTTGGCCTTCCCTCAAAAGCTTATCTGTCTGGGTTGATAAGAACCACAAATGCTGTAAATCTTTAAAATTTGCGAGTTGATCAACTTCTAGTACTATAATAATCTGTTTAAATTAGGGTTAAAAGTTTGCTTAGTTCAGTGTTTCCCAAAGTGGGCAATACAACCCTTTGGGGGCCGCTGACAAAATGGTGACTGGGCTGCACTTATCGTGGGTTATGAGCCAGAGCACCAAGGGTTCCCTGGCGCGGTGGGGCCACAGCACTGAGTGATCGGTTTTTTGAAAAGGGAGTGGTAGACCCAATGAGTTTGGGATGTGTTGTTTAGATGCTTGTTTCTGTTGTTCCTGGCTTGGCTTTACTATTAGAACACTGCAGAGAGCACTCTGTAAACAGTGGGGGGACAGGGCAAGAGTGGAAGCTGGCAGACGGCTGTGGTGCCCCGTAAACTAGGTTGGGAGCCCAGGGTAGGGTGGTGGGAGGGGCGGTGGGAAGAATATGAAAAGACGCGTACTTGAGGATTGGGAAGTGATAAAGTCCTCTCTTGCCTCATCAAGACAGGCTTGAGGGAACTGCTTCCTTTTTTTTAAACTGCATGTCTACAGGGAAAAGCACACAGCAGGCAATAGTGTGATGTGATGCCACTGCCAAGACTCGTGCCAGTGAGCACTGCATTCTGCGTGGTCCTGTGTGTGCTACTAGTAAAAAGATAAGCAGCTGGCTTCAAACAGTTCATGGAGAAATTGCATTGCTTTTCGATTTCATTTTTCCATGAGCTTTTAAAAACCCTCTTGTATATAACAAAGCACTTGCCCTTTTAGCATTTTTTTACAAATACAGAGGGGCTTCAAAAAGTTTATGGAAAATGCCCATGATGTTGTAGTTCCTTTTTTTCCCCCACGAACTTTCTGAAGCTCCCTGGTACAATTGGGTGACATTAGCTACTCTATAATATTGTGTAACTAACATCATTGTCTGCTTCCAAAATTTTCTATCGCCCTTAGCAGGAACTCATTATCCCCCAGGAAGCACTCCCCCTTACCTGTCCTTACCACCCCTGAAAACCACTAAGAAACTTTGGTCACTATACCTTTGCCTATTCCAGATAGATATTTTATATAAGTGGGATCATGTACCATTTGTCCGTTTGTGACTGACTTATTTTACTTAACGTAATATTTTCAAGGTTCATGTTGAAGCTCGTATTAAGGCTCCCCTTTTTTGTAGCTGAGTAGGATTCAATTGTTTGTAGATGCCACATTTTGTTTATTCACTTATCTGTTGATGGGCTATTGTGGACAGTGCAGGAATGAATTGTGTTCCTGGTTACAGGAACGGTTGAGCAAAAAGACAGCAATGTTACCCATCATTCTTTCACGCCTTTGTGCAAATGCCAACACGGGGAAGTTATACTGAATTATAAAATAGACTCATTCCAGTAGCCTGACTTGACCCCCTCCTCATTTGGCTGCAGATCCAAATTATCTCATGGCTAATGAACGCATGAACCTGATGAATATGGCCAAGCTGAGTATCAAGGGCTTGATTGAATCAGCGCTCAACCTGGGGAGGACTCTGGACTCCGACTACGCACCTCTCCAGCAGTTCTTCGTGGTGATGGAGCACTGCTTGAAGCACGGCCTCAAAGGTAGGCCCGAGTCCCCAGATGCATGTGCGTAGAAAAGAAAGCCTTCTTTGGGAGTCAAAGAATAAGAGCATTGAAATAATTGTATTAATCCAGTGGAAGGGAACCTACATGGGGCCTGGATAATTACCTTATTTTTTCTTTACGACTGTGATTCCAACACCTGGTTGCAATGTTTGTTAAATGAATAACTGTTCAGTAGACCCCTATAGAATATATCATTTAATGGATTCATATAAATTTTCATTTTTACTGAGTTTCACTGTTATTGTTAGGTGCCATCTAGTTGGTTCTGACCCACAGTGACCCTTTGCACCATCCTCACAATTGTTCCTATGTTTGAGCCCATTATTGTAGCCGAGATGTCAATCCATCTCCTTGAGGGCTTTCCTCATTTCCACTGCCCTCCTACCAAACACAATACACTTCTCCGGGGACTGGTCTCCCCTGACATTATGACTAAAGTATGTCAGGTGAGGTCTTGCCATCCGGCCTCTCTAAGAAGCATTCTGGCTGAGCTTCTCCTAGCACAGATCTGATGGTGCTTTCCGCGCTCCTCCGACTTCCAGTGCTCTTCTCCAGCACTAGATGCAGATGCAGGCTTCCTTATTTAGGTCCGCCTTTCACATGCATATAAGGCAATCGGGAATACCACGGCTTAGGGGGGGGGCGGGGAGGACACCTTGACTACTGCTTCCATGAGCACGGATTGTGAATCCAAGCAAGATAACAGACAAAGTCAACCTTTCCCCATTTATCATGATGATAACTATTGTTGTGAGGATTTGGGTCTTTTTTCACCCTGAGTCACAATCCATACTGAAGGCTGCAGTCCTTCATCACCATCAATCAGCAAATGTGTCAAGTCCTCCCTTTCAGCACGCAAGATCGAGTCATCTGCATATTACAGATTGTTGATAAGCCTGCCTCTAATCCTGATGCTAATTCTTCTTCACATAAACCAGCTTCCCTGATGATTTGTCCAGCATACAGATTGAATAAGTATGGTGGAAGGATACTGAATATACTGAGTTTAGGGAGGGCTTTCTACAATACATTTCTTTATTGTGTTATGCAAACTTAAAAAAAAGTATTTGTAGCCCCCAACTTGCAGACGGGTTGCAGTCTGACAACTCCATTTAAAGTCAGTTCTAATTTAAGTCAAAAAGACTTTTTTTCTAGTTTCCATTATGATTGCCTTTTATTATCAGTGGTTTCATAAATACAGTCTTTGAACATCTACTTGTTTTGAAAGTAGAATATCAAGAGGGAAGAATATATTCAGTATTTCTCAAGCTAAAAGAACTGAAGACAAAATATTCTATGGACAAAATATCGAACAATTCAGGAAATATCAAGAGAAGATAGACCATATAAAGTCACTGTACCAAAAAAGAATTTTTTCAGGGTTCATCCATTTCAGGAAGTTACTGTTGATCAGGAACTGATGGTGCGCCAAGCCTTGACAGCAACATACTGGCTTGGAGCAGCGCATTAACAGAGAGGACTGTGGGGCTGGCCCCAATCCGAGTTACGTTGACCCCCCTCCCTGGAAGAATGTACTACAGAGGACAGCACTGAAGATACAGCGTGAGGAGAGTGGCTGGTCTGTCCTGACCACACACCTAAGCAAGCTAAAAGGCAAAGAGAGAAAGACAGAGAGGAGAGCCTCATCCTGGTCCACCAAACCTCAAGGACCACATCCCTGCTTGGAGCAGCCAGTACACAGAGAGGACCGGAGGGCCAGCCCAAACAGGAACCATGATGTCCGCTCACCGGCCCAGAGCTCTACGGTGGTCAACACTGGAGACACAGGGCAGGAAGTGTGGCCAGTCTGACCCCCAACAGTGGGGCGACCCACGAAGGGAGCACAACAGAACAGCAAGGGAAGCAAAGCAATGAAGTTCTGGAGAAATTCCCAAAATAGACTTCTGACTTACGGGGCAGTAGTTGGCACCTCATCAGACCTGGTTGGAAGACATTCATAGAAGTCAGCTTTTTAAAAAAATGTCCCCCTTATTATTTTTTTTTACTTCAAAATTTTAAAATTTATCTTTTAGATATGTATCTGTATAAGATAGGATAAAAATCTCAAGGAGAAAGCAATGGGGGGGAGCTATGGTCCCAGGGGGTGAGAGATGGGCTTGGGAGAAGAGATGGCGGGAAAGGGAGTGAAAGGCCAACAAACTCAAGGACAAGGGAACAATAGGGGATCTAAACTCAATGGTGAGGAGGGTGTAGAATATCCCGTGGGGTTTGATCAATTGTAATGTAACCAAGAGGAATTACTGAGAGCCGAATGAAAGGTAAGCATGATAGTGGGACAGGAGAAAAGTAAAAGGAAATAGAGGAAAGAACTAGGAAGCAAAAGCTATATAGAGAGGTATAAATATAAGCATGTACACATGTACATATATTAATATATGAGGATGGGATATTGGCCTATGTACCTTTATTTATATGTCAAAGTATTAAGGAAGCAGACAGACTTTGGGCCTCTACTTAAGTCTTCCCTCAACACAAGAACACTTTGTTCTAATAAGCTGGCACTGTGTGCTACTCACCTTCCCAACACAATCACTGATGGCAAAATGGATGCATAACTAAATGTGATGAAGAAAGCTGATGGTGCCTGGCTATTAGATGCAGCACCTGGGGTCTTAAAGGTTTGAAGTTAAACACGAGGCCATCTAGCAGGGAAGCAACAAAGCCCACCTGGAGGAAGCACACCAGCCTGTGTGATCCCAAGGTGTCGCCGGATCAGGTATCAGACATCAGAGTACCCAAAGCAAACAGTCATATCAGTGTGAAGGAGAAGGGTCGGAGTGGAGACCCAAAGCCCATCTGTAGACAATTGGACATCCCCTCACAGAAGAGTCACTTAGAAAGGATAATTCAGCCAGGGTGCAGTTTAGCACCAATGAAACATACAACGTGCCTCTTGTATGAATGCTTCCTCCCCCCCACTCTCATGACCCCAGTTCCACATCACAAATCCTGCTAGACCAGAGACTGTACATTGGTGCAGATTAGAGCTTTTGACACGCAGAAGCCAGGACAGATCAACCCCTCAGAAAGAGTAATGGGAAGAGTGGCACCATGAGGGGCGGGAGGGGGCACAGGGGAAATCAATCACAGTGATGGATGTATGACAACCCCTCCGCCCCCCCCCCGCCCCCCATGGGGGAAAACAACAGAATGTGGGTGAAGGGATACAGCAGATGGTGGAAGATACAAAAAAATAATAATATATATTTTATCAAGGATTCACGAGGGTGGGAGGGAGGGAAAAAAGAGAAGCTGATAATAAGGGCTCAAGTAGAATGATAATGTTTTGAAAAGGATAATGGCAACACATGTACACGTTTTCTTGATGTAATTGATTTATGGATTGTTATCTGTAAGAGCCCCCAATAAAATGATTTAAATGTAAAAAAAAGAAAAGAAATTGGAAAGACAACCACCTGGCCAGGCTACTGGAAGAGATGCTTTACAGCTCCTGCAAGCGCCCACTACTAATGAAGGTCATTCAGCAGGATGCAGACATCATCAAACAATATCACTGACAGCACCCCAGCGTAAAATCCTGTGGAAGGTCATTTTAAAAAGTGGCAGCAGTACATGAAAAGGGAACCGCCAGACAACAAAGCCGGATTCTAAAGAGGACGTGGAATGAGGGTTTGCATTGCTGACATCGAACTGATCTTAGCTGAAAGCAGAGAATAACAGACGATGTTTACTTGTGTCCTGTTAACTGGGTAAAGGCATTCCCCTGTGTGGATCATAATAAATTATGGACAATGTTTCAAAGAATGGGAACTGCAGCAAACTTCCTTGCCTTCATCCAGAACTGTTTATACCAAGAGGCTGGCATTTGAAAAGAACCAGGGGACGTTGCATGGTTTAAAATTAGGAGTGCTGTGTGTCAGTTGTATGCTTTTACCGTATTTATTCAGTCTGTGTGCAGAGCAGATAATGTGAGAAGCTGAACTGTAGGAAGAACATGGCATCAGGACTGAAGGAAAAATAATTAACAACCTATAATAATTCAGATGACCCAGCCTCTGTTGCTAAAGGTGAAGGGGACGTAAAGCACTTACTGATGGAGATCGAAGATTACAGACTCCAGTATGAACAACCCCTCAACATAAAGAAAACAAGAGCCCTCCCCACTAGACTAGTAAGCAACATGATACATGGAGAAAATCCTGAAGTTGTCAAGGATTTCATTTGATTGAGATCCACAATCACTGCCCAAGGAAGCAGCAGTAAGGAAATCAAACGACATTTTTCTATGGGCAAATCTGCTGCAAAAGACCTCTTTAAAGTGTTTTTAAAAAATAAAGATATCCCTTGAGGGCTAAATTGTGACTGAACCAAGTATTGATATTTTCAGTATGCATGATAAAGTTAGATAGTGAATAAGGAAGACAGCAGGAGAAACGATGCATTTGAATTTTGGTTCTGGAGAAGAGTTGGATGGGACAGGGAACCCAGAAGAAGTAATAGATCTGCATTGCAAGAAGTACAATCTGAATTGCTCCTTCGAAGCAGGAACGTCAGTATTCGACCTACATTAGACATGGTATCTAAAGGAACCGGTCATTGGAGAAGGACATCATATTTGGTGAAATAGAGGGTCAGCCAAAAAGAGAAAGACCCTCAAGGGGATGGATTGGCCCAGTGGCTGCAAGAACAGGTGCAAACGTAGCAACTCTTCTGAGGATGGCACGTGGCAGGAAGCATACGCATGCTGCCTTATATTGGGCAGAGGGTCACTGCCAGTCAGCAGCGCCCAACAAGAAACAACAAGAAGCTGTTAATTATGTTATAAAATGACTCTCACTCAAAACACATTTTAATGGAAAGTTACATTACTTTATCTCAAATATAAAGTTTTTAAACATCATAACCATTTTTTTAAAATAACATGAGGCACATTAATGATGATGATTATTTACATTGTCAGTTTTTTAAAAATAATTTTATTAGGGGCTCATACAACTCTTATCACAATCCATACACACATCAATTATGTAAAGCGCATTTGTACATTCATTGCCCTCATCGTTCTCAAAACATTTTCTCGCCACTTAAACCCCTGGCATTAGGTCCTCATTTTTCTCCTCCCTCCACATTGTCAATTTTTAAAGCCATGTAAATCTCAAATATTTATCAGAAAGAAAGAGATAAGTAATAAAAAAGTCAGGAACAAGTTGTTATTGTTTGTTTAATTACTTTGCCAACTACCTTGAGTATTCTGCAATTGGTCTTAGCAGAGACAAAAGTGTGGTCGATCTTCTGGGATTAAAGAACAGATCGCTTAGTGTTAAAACTGAAAAGACCACTAAAAGTAATGTAGGCTGATACATGTCATGTTACAATTGGAAACAAGCTGAGGATTCGTATGTGACTTGCTCAAGGTCACACAGTGAGTTGGAACAGAGCACGAACTAGAATTCGGGTCTCCTAAGTTTCCCTTCCGTAGATTTTCCACACAACGATAAGCCTTTTGAGGGCAGGGCATGGCTTTTCTAATTTTAACCATTGTTATCTCTTTTGAAAGCATGAATGATATTAGAATTATATATTATCTAGGATTAGCTCCCTGAGAAGCTCATTTAGTAGACAGGGGGAGTTAATGAGTATAGATTGAGAGAATATTTATGTTGTAAAGAATATTAAACTACTGCTTTGTTTCTGTTTTAGCCAAGAAAACATTTCTTGGGCAAAATAAATCCTTCTGGGGACCTCTAGAACTCGTGGAAAAGCTTGTTCCAGAAGCTGCAGAGATAACAGCAAGTGTTAAAGACCTTCCCGGACTCAAGTAAGTTCATGTCTCATTCTGTTTCTTAGGAAAAGCAAAAGAGTAATGGTCCTGAAGAATGACCCCAAAGATAACAATTATTCCAATAATTTGTGACATGATAATCCAAAATGTATAATGCTATTTTGAATAGTACTCTTGTGAGAGAAATGGAAATATAAAATATTCAGAACAGTATGCCTTTGAGGTATAATTAATTGTTAATCTAAGAGAGGTTGTCTTGTTGAAATAAGAAATATTTCTTTCTTCTTCGTCATTTGTTTGTTTTAAGACCCGAGGGAGAATTAGTGAGTTTCAAAAAGTTAGCTCTAGGGAGGTGGCTTGCTGGACTTGATGTCGGAGTCTGCCAACGAGTCGAACGGTCCTGAGAGGGGGAGTGAGGATTAAGGAAAAAAAGAGAGACAGAACGTATTTGGAGGGCAATAGTGAATACTGAAGCCCCAAGTTTATTCTACATCTTCCTTTTATACATGCAGAAACAACCCGGGGTTATATTTTTCTCATTGTTAACCAAGCACATTGGATACACATCAACAACTCTATGTTTTTCCAAACCAAGCATCCTTGAGAAAATTAACCATCCTGATTTCCCAGAACTCGCAAACGTCCTTGTTCTTTTTCTTAATCTCAATGTCAAACCGCAGAAGCAAACAGCAGATACTGATATCTTCTCAGCCATTTCAAGGCTGAGTCTTAATGGCCTTCAACAACTTGGCTCAGAGAAAGGGAGGCATTACACGTGGTTTTGAGAACCAGACTGAGAGTGTTAGCAAATGTACTCGGGAATTACCACCTAGAATTTGCCTTAGAATCAAAAATGTGGTGGCAATCCTTCCCAAAGTAGCATACTTTAATTTTAATCAGATAGACTGTGTCTACATGAGTGTCTGGATACTTCTGTAGACCATTTTCCATTGTGTCTTCAAGAGACCTTGTGAAATTATAGTCTCACTCAGTAATTGATTCTTTGCCAGAGCCTTGTCCCAACACACCTCTGCACTCTCACCAGCCCGTATGCAATTCCTCACGGAGGAGGGTGGGTGGAAAGGTGGGGAGGAGCCCTCCAGATGCGTGTTATACAGGGAGACCACCCTGTACGTCACTCGGGCCCCTGCTCTGTGCTTATGTCTTAGTTGTTTGGTTTCTGTGTTTTATAGGACACCAGTAGGTAGAGGAAGAGCCTGGCTTCGTTTGGCGTTAATGCAAAAGAAACTCTCAGAGTATATGAAAGCGCTGATCAATAGGAAGGAGCTTCTCAGGTACGGATCTGTGCTTTTTCTGCATTTATGTTAACTAGCAAGTTTAAAAAATGAAAATGGTAGGCTGTGCCTTCAGAGAGCTCCGAGTCTGACATTTTTTAGTGGAGTCTATGAAATATGTAAAGTTAGGGTGCAGCCTTGCTCCTCTCCTAAGCGGGCACTTAGACAACTTTTTAAGATGAAGCTTCTGGGAGAATAGACCCTTCACCATTCTGTCTGCTCAGAGGCTTCGGAGGCTGCCAAATAACCGTACTATTTCCAGAGATAGGATAAATTTGTAGCTCTTTCATGTGCTGTTGCTTATGTTTGAACTATTTTACCGTTTCTTAATATCTTTCCTTAAAGGATAAAAAAGAAGAGAAACAATAAAATCAGTAGATTTTATGGATTGTTATCAATAATTGGGGTTGACCTGGAACAATTCCAGTTGACTTTGTGGAAAACAAATAGTTTGAAGTTCTCTGCCCATCATGATATCAACTAGGTTAGAAATGAATAGTTTAAGTTACCGAGATTTTTGTGTATTAGTAATGTTGGTGCATATTTGAGCAGTTTTTAGTCATCTGTGTGCCTTGAAGAATTTTTATCTGGAAATTTTCAAATACTTTGTGTCTCCTGTGCATGTTTATTTCTAAGTCATCTTATAACTGTTATACCTGCCCTGTGAGTATGTAGTATGGAAAAACCCAAAACGAGTTTAACTGGCCATCAGAAAGGGAATGGTTAAGTAAGTTTATAGTATATTCATTTAGTGCAATCTTATCAAGCTAGTATATTTCTGCTACTTTATTTATACTGGCTAGCCTGCATAGATAATGCTTCAAAGCTACAGTAGTTAGAAAGCAGGGACTTGGTGATAGAAACAAATCTGGAGATTGCATGATAGAATTTTGCCATACCAATGACTAGTTCATAGCAAATAACTTTTCAACAACACAAAAGGCACCTGTAGACATGGACTTCCCCAAATGGAATACATAGAAATCAAATTAACTATGTCTGTTGGAAGACAAGATGGAGAAGCTCAGTGTCAGCAGCTAAAAGCAGACCAGGGACCGACTGTGGCACAGACCATTGCCAAGAGACCCGATGAGCTATGGGAGGACATCACGACCATCATCGATGAAGAAAGCAAAAGACCATTAACAAGATGGGAAAAGAAGAAAAGATCGAAGTGGATTTCAGAAATGACTCTTAATCTTGGAGTCGCTAAAGCAAATGGAAGAAAGAATGAAGTCAAGGAACTGAACAGAAAATTTCAAATGGCAGCTTGAGAAGACAAAGTCAAATAATATAACAAATTGTGCAAGGACCTGGAGTTAGACAACCGAAAGGGAAGAACGTGCACAGTATATCTGAAACTGAAATAACTCAAGAAAAAATTCAAGCCTTGAGTTGTAGTATTGAGAGATTTTATAGGCAAAATATTGAATAATGAAAAGATCAGAGGAGAAGGAAAGAATACAGAGCCACTGTAACAGAAAGAGCTAGTCGACATTCTACGATTTCAGGAGGTAGCCTATGAGGAAGAACCCACGATGCTGAAAGAAGAAGTCCAAGCTGCACTGCATGTATTAACCAAAAACCAGGCTCCAGGGATTGGTGGAATACCCATTTAAATGTTTCAGCTAGTTCAAGAATCACTGGAATCACTCACTCATCTATGCCAGGAAATTTGGAAGACAGCTACCTGGCCAAACGACTGTAAGAGATCCATATTTGTACCCATTCCAAAGAAAGGTGACTCAACAGAATGCTCAAACTATAGAACAACATCATTGATATTACATGGCAGTAAACTTTTGCTTAAGATTATCCAACGAAATAGAGGAAAGAACTAGGAGGCAAAGGACATTTATAGAGGTCTTAATACAGGCATATACATGTGTAAATATATTTATATATAATGATAGGGGAATAGATCTATGTATATATCATTTTTTATGTGTATATATCTTTATATGCTAAAGTATTAAGGAAGCAGACAGACATTGGGCCTTGACTCAAGTACTCCCTCAACACAAGAACACTTTGTTCTAATAACTCAGCATTCTGTGATGCTCACCTTCCCTACACGATCGCTGAAGACAAAATGGGTGCATAAACAAAGGTGGTGAAGAAAGCTGATGGTGCCCAGCTCTCAAAAGATATAGCATCTGAGGTCTTAAAGCAGGCATCCTCAAACTACGGCCCGCGGGCCAAATGCGGCCCTCCAAGGACATTTATCCGGCCCGCTAGGTGTTTTTGCCATTTGTTTTTTTACTTCAAAATAAGATGTGTGCAGTGTGCATAGGAATTTGTTCATAGTTTTTTTTTAAACTATAGTCCGGCCCTCCAACAGGTCTGAGGGACAGTGAACTAGCCCCCTGTTTAAAAATGTTTAGGACCCCTGTCTTAAAGGCTTGAAGATAAAGAAGCAGCCATCTAGCTGAGAAGCAACAAAGCCCACCTGGAAGAAGCACACCAGCCTGTGTGATCATGAAGTGTTGATGGGATCATGTATCAGGCATCAAGACCCAGAACAAAAAAAATATCGATGTAAATGAGGGAGGGCAGAGTGGAAACCCAAAGCCCATCTGTAGACAATTGGACATCCCCTTACAGAAGGGTCACAAGGAAGAGACGAGTCAGTCAGGGTGCAGTGTAGCACTGACGAAACATACAACTTTCCTTTAGTTCTTTAATGCTTCCTCTCCCACCAACCCATCACCACCACCACTATCATGACCCCAATTCTACCTTACAAATCTGGCTAGACCAAAGCATGTACACTGGTACAGATAAGAGTCTGCAACACAGGGAGTCCAGGACAGATAAACCCTTCAGGACCAATGAGAGTAGCAATACTGTACCAGGAGTGTAGGGAGAAGGTGGGAAGAGGACAAACAACAGGAAGGTGGATGAAGCAAGACAGTAGTTGGTGCAAGACATGAAAAAAATAATAGTTTATAAATTATCAAGGGTTCATGAGGGAGGAAAAAAATAAGCTGATACCAAGGGTTCAAATAGAAAGTAAATGTTTAGAAAATAATTATGGCAACATATGTACAAATGTGCTTGACATACTGGATGTATGTATGGATTGTGATAAGAGCTGTAAGAGTCCCAAATAAAATGATTTAAAAATAAATAAATACATACATACATACATACCCCCCAAAAAAAAGATTATCCAAAAATGGTTGCAGCAGTACATTGAAACGTAGCTGCCAGAGGTTCAGGCTGGATTCAGAAGAGGACATGGAACAAGGGATTTCATTGCTGATGTCAGGTGGAAGTTGTCTTAAAGCAGAGAACACCAGAAAGATGTTTACTGTGCGTCATTGACTCTGCAAAGGCACTCGACCGTGTGGAGCACAATAAACCGCGGATGGCCTTGAGAAGAACGGGATTCCAGAACACTTCATTGTGCCCCTGAGGAACGTGGACGCTGATCACGAGACAGTTGTACTAACACAACAAAGGAATACTACATGGTTTCAATCAGAAAAGGTGTGTGACAGGGCTGTAGCCTTTCACCCTACTTGTTCAATTTGTATGCTGAGCACATGATCAGAGAAGCTGGATTATGTGAGGCAGAAAAACGTGACATCAGGATTAGAGGACGGCTTGTTAACAGCCTGTGACATGCAGATGGCACAACTGCTTGCTCAAAGTGAGGAGGACGTGAAGCGCTTGCTGACGATGAGGAGTGCAGCCTTCAGCAGGGATGACAACTCAGTGTAAGGAAGACCCAAATCCCCACAGCTGGACCAATAAGGAAAATCACAATAAATGGAGAAAAGGTTGACGTTGTCAAGGATTTTGCTTTGTTTGGATCCACACTCAGTGCTCATGGAATCAGCAGATGAGTTATATTACTTTTTAACCCATCTTTAGCTGGGAATGCCATGGAAACCTGTTCAGCCTCATAGCACCATGCAAACCTCCACAGAAAAGGGTGGCTGGGCATGAAGTGCTTTAGCCGGGCAGCAGGCGATCTCAGAGGTGGTCTGGACTGCCGCGGATGGAACCGCAGAGGTCCTCTGTGCTTCTTCTTGCTGACTGTTGTGTTTCTTCCTGTAATTTAACATCATTTTATTAAATAGCAAAAGAAAAGAATACTTTAACATTATAAATTATATTCAGCCTATGATTTTTATTGCTTTTTAGACAGCTTTTCTAATTAGTCAAATGTGAATGTATTTAAATTAACACTTCGCACTGCTAAAAGTTAGTTGACTGTATTAATAAAATAAGGTGGTAAATAGAATTTTTAAATTAAACAAATTAGGAAAAAGGCAACTTTTGAAAAACTAAAAAAGAGCATATTCAAAAGGTATAAAAGATTACAAAATTCTAGGGCACATAACACTATAAATATGTGAAAACATGAACAGAAATACCATTCTGATATTTCTTTTATCCAGACTATCTCCTGTGTAGAAAAATCTATTCTTGTATTAACAGCTACAGTACTTATCCAAGGCAGTCATCAAAGATGACAGTCATATTCAACAAGGAGGCAGGTTTGTTTCTGCGCATCTCCTGTTTACATTAGTGGATGACTAAGGCAGTACTACCACAGCGCCGTGTGGATTTGTCTTACAGCGAATTCTATGAACCCAATGCCCTCATGATGGAAGAAGAAGGAGCCATAATTGCTGGTCTCTTGGTGGGTCTGAATGTCATTGATGCCAATTTCTGTATGAAAGGAGAAGATTTGGACTCTCAGGTATGGGAAAGATAGTTACCCAGTGTGCCACTCGAAATGCTGTTATTACCAGAATTTGCATTGATAAGGCCATAGCAACCACGTTGGGGACCAGGGGGTAGATTGTGAGTATTAAATAGGATTTCTTATCATTTTGACATGAACATGAAAATTTTGGTTGTTTTTTGTTCAACTTGGCTTACAATGTTTGTATATTTTTAAAATTCCTGTCTTTTCTATGATCCCTGTAAAACGTATAGGCTAAGATATATGCAAAGACGGTGATACTTGAATATGCTTATATACTAAGTATTATGCTAAATACTAAACATCAGTATTGTATACTAGTTGAGAATAAAACTAAACCGCTTGGGTTCACATTCTGGCCCCCTCATTTCCTAGCTGAGTGTGTTTTCAGAATGAAAGCGTAGGTGCATGTGATACATTTAGAACAGGGCCCGACATGTACTGATTGCCCAGTAAGAAAAGCTCCTGTGTTTCCTGTGAGTATTTCTCACCCTTTCTGTATGAAACACTACAATACGTTTCTGCTACATTTTACTCTATGAAAAGAGAAATACGGTATTTTGATCTGTATTATTTTTGTAGTTTAATTTCTGAAAATTATTCCTAAGAGTGAATTTTATAAAAGCCAAAGAGAAAGAAATTTGAGGTCTTCTTTGTATTAAGATACTAAAATGGGGAGCTGATATCAGGGGCTCAGGAAGAAAATGCTTTGAAAATGATGATGGTGGCATATGTGCAAATGTGCTTGACACTGGATGAATGTATGGATTGTGATAAGAGATGTAAGAGCCCCCAATAAGAGTATTTTTTTAAAATGCTGTTGATCGTTTGCCTTAGCTATATATGCTCTATTCCTATTGACTTTTAATTTTTGGTTTTTGCTTACTTCTAATCTTTGTTCATTCTTTTAGTTGTTGTTAATTGGGAGCTAATACAGATACCATACCATTCCATACAGTCACATCAAGTAATATTATACAATTGCTACCACAATTGGTTTCAACATTCTTTTTCTTCTTGAACTCTTTGACATGAACTCCCCATTACCCACCCCCCAACTGTATCCCTTAAAACCTTTGTTAATTCTTGATTATACTGAAAGTTAAAAGTTTTTAAATCACAAATGTCTAGAACTTTCACTATTATAGTACTATTTTGAGTGCCTAAAAATAGATAATTATGCCATGCCTTCAAAAATATGTAATTTTATATTAAATTATGAAATTCTCTGTGTAGGTTGGAGTTATAGACTTTTCAATGTATCTCAAGGATGGGAACAGCAGTAAAGGGAGTGAAGGGTACGTACAAAGAAAATTAGCTTCCTCTGATGTCTTCAGTAGTAATTAATACTACTTTAACTGGTTGAAAGATTTCTGTTGATAAATATTTAAGTTTTGCCAAAAAAGTATCAACTAAGCCTAAAATTAAAATGTTCAAATTCAAATTAAAAGCTTCAAAACTATACATAAGAGTGCCTAGAGATTACAAATGTCCTTTACAGTATATCCTTTATAAATTTAGCAGGTGAAGGCACAATTGGTTTACTGTTTTTAACATTTGGTCATTGAACTAGAAATGATATAATTTGGTCTTTTTGTGTGTGTTTGATTGTTTGGGTAAGTGGCCTTGATTTTTGTCTTTCATTTTTTAAATGCCTGGCTATTGAACATTCATGTGTTATAGATCAGTTGGTTCTGGTTCTAAAAGTAAATCTATTTTCCACCATTTATTTTCTTATGTAATTATAAACACTTGAGCCTTTTGAAGACTTCTTTGCTATTCACTTTGAAATACCATTTTCACTTAAAAACAAATATGTAGCATTTGAGAACAACTGTATTACGCTAGAGTTCCAATCACCAATGGAAAATGGTGGCTGTAAATCGTTGTTACCCAAAGTAAGCAATACTGCGCGCTGGGGGACACTGGAATGATCCCAAATCAGACCAGACTCCCTGCCATGGGGCTAAGGCCAACTCCCAGCAACCTAATGCACAGTCAAACTGCCTGCGCTGCTGAGATGAGTAGAAAGCCCAGTTTTCTCCCAGGGAGTGGTTGGTGGTTTCAAACAGTTAGCAGCCCACAGTGCCACCAGGGCTCCCAGGAGGCTTCTGAAGCAGATGTATGGGCTATTGTACCAAAGTTTCTAATCACCAGGAGGTACTGAGTATGTTTTTTTCTGAAAAGGGAGGAGTGGTAGGCCAAATAAGTTTGAGAACCTATGCTATAAATAATGCTTGTGGAAATGGAATTAAAAAATAATAGAATATTTTACATGAACTTCTGGAGACCCCTCATTCTAGCAAGAAGAAATTGCTTACCTTTTAAGTGCCTTTATTATATTGTAACTGTTATTTCTATAAGTGACATTACTAAGACATGCAAGCTATACTTTGCTAATGTAGGTTTTTAAACATTGTCTAAGCCTTGCCCAAGTCTTCACTGTTAATAGTTTAGGGCTTGTACATCAAGGCTGTCTTCTGGTTCAGTGTTATCTGTGACACAGTGTGTTTTCTGTTTTATGAAAATATGGAGAGGGGATTTTTATGTCTCTAATATTAACTATTTTTTCTTTTTCCTAGAGATGGTCAAATTACTGCAATTCTGGACCAGAAGAACTATGTAGAAGAACTAAATAGACATCTAAAGTAAAGAATGATTAAATAACATTAATGGGGCTTTGGTTGGGGATGAATGGAAAGCTTCAAACAACAGGCAGTGAGGATAAAGTCAGACAATATTCAACCAACAGACGTGACCCGGGCTGCACTCTAGACAGATTAGATAAAGGGCATTAAACTGTTTTGGTATCCTTTGGTGAAGACACTATAAGATTAACATGCAATTATAATGTTAGTGACCAAGTTAATAATTTACTTAATTATTAATAGGTGACATAAACAGTTGTCAGGCCTACTTGGTTCTAAAGGTTCAGCCACAAATTTCAGGACTGACCTGGGATAAAACATTTAGCACCTTAATAACTTTTGATAAGCATCTCGCTCTGGTTCCATGCATTTCTTATAAATTGAATTGAAATATTAGTCTACTGTCTTCACCATCACTGCAATAAGTTTCCAAAGTGCTCACTAGCAAGACTGTCCAAACATGAATCAGTTTTCCTTCTCTTGAGGAGAGCTATCCAAAAGGTACTGTGGATGGTTTTAGTAAACTATTGTGTAAATAAGCTACTGCTGATTAATTCAGGAAAAGGAGTTAATTTGTCCACTATTCATCATTTGTTTGTAGTTCTCTTGTGGAAGTAAGTTTAAATTAAGACCTATAATATATTATGGAGGAGCCATGGTGGCGCTGTGAGTAGGCAATGGGCTGCTAACTTCAAGGTCTGTGGTTCAAACCCATGAGCCATTCCATGGGAGAAATATGAGGCTGTCTGCTCCTGTGAAGATTTACAGTCTCAGAAATCCTGCATATGGTTTCTATGAGTTGGTGTTGACTTGATAGTGGTAGATGGAGTGAATAATATGCATATGTAAATCAATATAAAGCCTTCGTATCCTGATTTTAGCTAGAAAAGTATGAAGAAAAAGCATTTGCTCTGAGGACCAAGGGTTAATCACATTATATAACAAAGTCATATAGAAATGTTAAGAAGACAAAAAGATGGTTATAATTGACAATGAAATATGAACATGACACTATTATTTAACCTTTCTATGTCTCAATTTATCTGTAATTGGGGAGACATAACACAGGGTTGTTTAGATGAATGTTTGGTACGTAGCAGGAACCCATTTAAGCTATTATTATTTTATATAATTAAATCTTAACAGTAGTAGTTTCATTTCTCTGGATAATGATTACTGAATGTACACTTCATTGGCAAATATACAGCAGCTAATAAGATAGACACAGCTTCTCTAGAGCTCACAATTCTTTCAGGAACTGGGGACATAAAACAAATAATAAGTATAATGAATGTTTAAAATGGAGCATTGAGGATATTGCTTTGTTTCACAATAAACTTTTTTTTCCCTACTCTTAACAGTGCTACTGTAAACAACCTTCAGGCAAAAGTAGATGCATTAGAAAAATCTAATACAAAACTGACAGAAGAGGTAAGTGTTTGGGAAATTTTCTTTGACTAGCTTTCAGAATTTTCATTATAAGACAATAGTATACACCATTAGAGCCGATTATTTCTAGGAAATGTTGGAATAGAAGGACCAGACTTTTCATTTGAGGCATGTGCCTGCATAGTTATTTACAGCCATGTGACATCGAACTTCATATATATCTATGATCCCATAAGATTATAAAGTTCAGATCAAAGAAAGGGACAGCAGATGTACCCAAACACAACAGCTTCTCCCATGCAGTCCATGTATATCATGGCTCTTATCTGCACAGTGATAGCACTACCAGGTATAATGGTCACCCATAAAACATAGGTCTCGCTGCTAGTCATAATAGATGTTTAAATTAACACCAACTTTTCCTACTTACAAATAAAAGGTTCATAGTATAACAATTTATACTTCAACTCATAGCCAGCAGCCTCCAAGGTCAAATGACATGACTTGGTTCACACCTTCTACTAAGTCTGGACTGAATCCCACCTTCTCCTCTCCATTAGTGTACCAGAGAACTTCTTCTAAAATGGCATTAGAGCCACAGACAGAGTCAGAGTGATAATACATCATTGCTAAAGAATTGTGGCTACAAGGGCCAAATTAATTGACTACATCTCAATTGGGCACATCAGCTGCTTTGAGGGGGAGCATCTGTTGAGATCATCATTATGTTTATGTTTTGTTTTTTATATAACCTGTTCTCAAAATATTTTCCAAAATTTCTCTGTAAAAGTATTTTTTTCTTTGTAAAAACATTTCTGTGGGGTTTATCAATAGCTTTCTTTCCTTTTAAGAATAGCCAAACCTGAAATTATCTTGTAGGTCATAAGTTATTTTACACTCATTTTATACTGTATATTTATTAACTCCTTAATAAAAGGACTTAAGTTTTTTGTGTATAATTAACAGCTTGCAGTTGCAAACAACAGGATTATTACCTTGCAAGAAGAAATGGAACGAGTTAAAGAGGAAAGCTCCCACATATTGGAATCCAATCGAAAGGTGAATATTACTGTATTTATCAAATATTCATAGAGCATATCAAAATGCTAGTACTATCCACGTACTTGATTTTATGCACTAATGATTTGTACTGAACTTCAATGTTATACTTGTTATATTAAATATGCCATTTTTAGACCACACAAGTTTTTGCTTTGTAAAAAAGTGACATTTATCTAATACTACTGAAAGTTGCCATGTAAATGGTTTTTTTGTGTGTTTTTTTAATGTATTTATTTATTTATTTATTTATTTTTCTTTTTTAACATTTTATTAGGGGCTCATACAACTGTTATCCCAATCCATACATACATCAATTGTGTAAAGCGCATTTGTACATTGTAAATGGTTTTTAAAGATAATTCAACCCCTTAATGTACAAAACCTTTTATTGAACAATAAACTTTTTGTGATTTTATACATATTACACAATTCCAAACCTTAATTAGAAGCTGTATTGTTGCCCTTTATGACTGAAGATCAGAATTATCAGCACCAGCACCCCTGTGTGAAATAACCATGCTGCTACTTCTGAAATCGATGGTGCTTCTGGCATCTCTGTAGAGCGGTGGTCAGCCTTCCAAATGCTGCGACCCTCTCATATAGTTCGTCATGTTGTGGTGACCCCCCAACCATAAAATTACTTTCCATGCTACTTCATAACTGTCATTTTGCTACTGTTATTAATCAGGCGACCCCTATGAAAGGGTCATTCGACCCCCAAAGGGGTCATAACTCACAGGTTTAGAACCGCTCGTTAGATAGCCCCAGATTGCTATGGGTGTTTTTGTATTGCGTTTTCTGCCTTGATGTCTCTAGACATCAAGTATGTCATTAGAATACTAATGCCAGCGTTGTTTCTCCAGAAAGATAGCCATGCGCACGCCCTTTTATCTTCATACTTTTCAACCGCTTGGCCTAGGTATACTGGATATCAACCATTACTAAGGCTGCTGTTACAGTAAGAGCAGTAACCAGGCTGGGAAGGGAGACGAAGGCACTTTTGAGCACATAACAGAGTTGCCTTTAGTGCTCGGGCCTTGTGAAAACAACTGTGGCTGCTCAGGTTTCTGGTTGCCAGACTTCGAGCTCACATCCCCTGGATCAGACCACGTGTGAGGGCCTAGAGAAGGAATAGAGTACCACTTGACCCTTGGACCTCACTCACATTTTACAGTGACTGCAATCTTCTTTTTAGAGGCTGATTTTTAAAACTTCTAGCCCCCAATTTGGTAATTTCTCTTAGGATTTGAAACAAAATGGCAAGAAATTCCTTATTCAACTAAAGTATATATTTAAATTTACGAGACTTCTTTAACTTCTTGGTCTTCTTTTATTATCGTACCTACTTAGGCACGGTCATGTTTCCTTACTAAATAACAGTAGTAGTGTCAACTAACACATAATTCTTAAACATGTGTGCTTTTGTTGATCTTTTCAAGGGTCCTAAGCAAGACAAAACTTCAGAAGGGCAAGCACTGAGTGACGCAAGAAAGCATTTAAAGGAGGAAACACAATTACGACTGGTAATCTTTGCTCAGTTCTAAATGATTCAGGAACACATTAAAAGGGAACAACAGCCTGTTTGCAGGTTTTGTCTTACAGACCAGGATCAGGAATATCTATACTGCTCTAACCATTTGTGTGTGTGTGTGTGTGTGTGTGTGTGTGTGTGTGTGTGTGTGTGTGTTTACATGTTCTGGACTTGGTGGTAGTTTTAATCTGGTTCTTTCTCTCTCTCATACTTTTTAATTTAATTTATTTATTTGCCTTCCCCTTCACCCAGGTTAATACATTGTACTTCTAGTTATTAACCCACCCTTCCTCCCCTCATCCAAATTTTGATGGCCCTTATAGAACTGTTTCTCATTCTTTTTAACTCATATTTTCCATATTGCTTTTCTCTATGTATTTTTTGAGTATTCTAAACAGCCAGTAAGATTCTGCCCATCTTTATTATTTTGCGTTATTCTTTGCATTATAAGAACATTAGGTATATACAATCTACTTTTTCACTGTGCAATCTGCCCTCTCGCCCACCCCCAGCCCTCACCCCTGCAAAGATTCTGATCTGTACCCTTGTAAGGCTCCTTTTCCTTAGTACTAAGAGTTATTTGTGTAGAATTGTACGCTGGGGTTTTTTTAAGCTCTTTACTCTAGATTTATTCTTGTTCTTAGACATAAATAGAAAAATGTATCATCCAGGATGAGTTTTATGGTATTTTTAGAAGGTATACATGAATTTATACTAGAGAATGATATTCCTATGTAGTAATAATTTCTTGTGTAATAATTATTTCCAGGCTAGTTCCAAGGAGGTGGAGATTTAAAATGTTCTAAATGCCCAATTTGTCCAAGATGCTGTAGTGCTCTGCTCCCTCCCCCAGGGTATTCACTCTCACCCTGAAGGGTGTCCTCTGTAGCATGGCACAGAGACGCCACAGCGTTACAGAAACGGCTCCCATGGTTGCCAGGGCTGTTAAGTCACAAACCCGAAGGTCAGGCAGAGGCGAGCCAAATGCAGGGATCAGACCAGAAGCCAAATATGTCTGAAAGTCAAAGCAGGTCTCTGTCAACTCTCAGTTGGGAAACAGAGGTCACAGAGGGAAGGCCTCGGGGAAGGTGCGGTTACTGTCTTTCCGCAGACCTTCCACCCAGGACACACTCACGTCATACCCTCCAGTAGTGAGAGACGAAGGCTACACCCCGCCTTCGTCTTCCGAGATCAGATGAGACCGGCGCGTTGAATGTGTATGGCCGTAGACGCCACCTTAATCTTATAGCATGGAACTCCCTCCAAAATGGGATTACCAAACACGTTACGGTTGTTAGGTGCCAGTGAGTGAATCCTGACCCATAGTGACCCACTGTGCGCACAACAGAACGAACCACTGCCCGCTCCTGCACCCCCTCGTCACCATTGTGCTTATGCGTGAGCCCCCCACAGCCACTGTGTCAGTCCATGTTGAGGACTGATCTCTCCTGACAACAGTCATGAGGGTAGAATTGAGAGGGTATCACAAAAGGGATTGGGGCTAGAAGGGCTACATTAAGTAATGGACTACACCTCATCCGAGGAGAGATTTTTATCTCCATAGCTGTATGAGTGTATTCATACTTCCCTAGTGCTAGTATAGAGGAGCCATGGGCGGGGAGTGGTTGCAAGTTCGGCTGCAATCTGGAAGGCCAGCATTTCAAAACATCCAGCCACTCCGTGGGAGAAAGATGGGGCTTTTTACTCCCGTAAAGAGTTACAGTATGGAAACTCCCAGAGGCCGCTCTACTCTGTCCTGTAAGATCGCTGTGAGTCAGCAGAGACTCAATGGCAGTGAGTTGAGTACTGGTATATGGTAGTACAAACAGTTTAGCACTTGGCTGCTAACCTAAAAATAGGCTGTTTGTATCTACCCAAAGCCCCTCAGTAGAAAGGGGGTGCGTTTCTGAAACGTCACGGCCACTGAGAAGCCAATGGAGCACAGTGGATTAGTATACCCACTCTTCCTGCAGTTCAGATGCTGTGACAGACAGAGCGTCTCAGAGTAGGGACAGGCCCGAAAATAAGGGGGGACTTAATTTATTATAAAAATTCACAATGTATGGAACAGAATCTCAGGTTTTTGAAAAGACATCATGTTAACAACCCTGAAAAATGTGCCTTCTATACATTTGTGAATCAGATCAGAAATACTTCACATAAGGCAGTCTGAGAAATGATACATGTCACATTTTAATAAGCAGTATGATTTCTTTCCTGTCGTGCCATGTACATGTACAAAGAAGTGTCTCGAATAGCACATGATAAAATCTCTTAAATAAAATTTTCTACATCCCTCTTAGATTAAAGTAAATGTTTTTAAGAAAGAATCCAAGCAAGTAGGCAGGTCCTAGGTGTGCTGCGGGCACCGAGTAGGTGCAGAAAACCTCAGGTCTTTGTCTGTTTGTCCAGCCACACATAATTATTCAAAACATGTTGCTGGAGCACAGAAGATCCTTATCAATAAAGAACATCTTTTCTTTTTTTTTTAACAATCATTTTATTGGGGGCTCTTACAGCTCTTCTATAACAATCCATACATCAATTGTATCAAGCATATTTGTACATGTGTTGCCATTACTATTTTATAGACATTTAGTTTCTATTTAAGCCCTTGAAAGAACATATTTTCACAAAGCAGAAAACCTCCTTATTCAGAAAGTCTTTATGACTGAAACCAAGAGAGTTTCACACTCAGTAAATATAAACTTGACCATGGTAACCATCCTCAGTCATTGAGATGTTAGTCTAGTAACCCAAAGCACTTTCAGAGTTTCTTAAGGTCTTGAATATATTAACTGCGTCCAAATTTAAGAGAACGGTTGACTATTGTAGTGCTTTGTGTAGGTATTTCTATAATCGGACATAACATTGCTTACATTAATAAGATCTGATGAGTGCCTCAAGTGTGTGCATATCTTAGACATATTTAATAGTGCTGTCTTTGACCCAGCACATTTAGGAGATTTGCTTTTTTAATGTGCAAATGCTATTATGATTATATTAATTGCCTTTCTTGTTAATGTTTCTGCAAGCTAGTGCTTGCCAACAGCACTTCACTAGAATATTCAGTGAAGAGTTTGTGATCCACTCTTGACTGTGAAATGTTACAGTTTGTACTTAGTTGAGGAAAGAGAGTAAGCAATGTATTTGCCTGTGGGGGCAGGACGTTGAAAAAGAGCTGGAGATGCAGATCGGGATGCGACAGGAAATGGAAATGGCCATGAAGATGCTGGAGAAGGATGTCTGTGAGAAGCAGGACGCCCTGGTGTCTCTGCGGCAGCAACTGGATGATCTTAGAGCTCTCAAACACGAACTTGCCTTTAAGCTGCAGGTAGGTCAACCGTGAGGAAGAGCCTTGCTGGCTCCGCAACACTGCGGTGGGGTTCAGGGGAAGTGGGGCTCTTAAAAAGCACCCTTTAAACGCAAGAGGACGTAGTCATATCTCACTTTATGGCTAATAAGCCCTTTTAGAAACCTCCCTATCATAGGGTCCTGCATTACTATTCTGGAAAGCTGTCGTCATTTTTCAAATTACAATGGGGGAAAAGAGGTTTTTTTTATCAGAGAATTTCTCCTTTCCTGCCTAGCACGCCAGCTGAATCATACAAAACCAAACCAAACCCATTGCCATTGGCCCTAGGTAGGGTTCCAAATTGTAAACCTTTGATAGCAGACAACTTTAAGGGATCTTCAGAAAGTTCTTGGGAAAGATCTATTATCTTTGCATTCTATATTTCTACAAATTGGTGAAAACCCCACATATACATCATTAAATTTTATACTGAAATAAGATAAACTAACGAGCCTTTGGATGTTGATTTTTATAAGGCTTCATGCACCTATAGTAATTTTAAACAAATGGTGTTTTTGGTTTTTATCCATTTGGGAGTTAACTGACACAAACACAAGTATTTCTATTTCTCATTTACTGCTAAGTTCAAAAAACCGAGGTGATGTATTTCGGAATTTTGTACAGATCACTGTGTTCTTTCCTATAACAGAGTTCAGACTTAGGAGTAAAACAGAAAAGTGAATTAAACAGTCGCTTGGAAGAGAAGACTAATCAGATGGCTGCTACCATTAAACAGCTGGAACAAAGGTAAAGACGTGCTGTTGCTTTAATGAGGTGTGTGGGGCCTTGAAGTCTCGGAGTGAAAAGCATGACATGCATTTGGTAAAATAGACCAAAATTATTTTCTGCTTGAACACGTGCTGGTAGAAAGAAAACAAGTTAAATTTTTTTTCTATGATGTCACTGAAAATTCTTAAAGAAATGTCGGCTTTTCATGACTGTTTTGTAAAGAAGAACTTTAATTTTAACCCTTTTACTTAACCCTATTTCTGAATCTTGGAATGTTGGAGGAAGGATATTTAAAACAAGAATGAATTTTGAAGGGATCTGGAGATTTGTGTCTGTGAGTCTGATTCTCCTGTCCGTTGCTGCAGTCTGACGGCTGTGGTACTTGAGGGGATGTGGGGGCACAGGATCTACTTGGGATCTCTTCTCCCTGCTTGACCCTTCCTTTCTGCGCTATCAGCTCCCTGGTGGGTCTACTTTCTCCAGAGGGGCTGGGTGATTTGCACTGTCACCTCTCACCCAGAACTCTTACATCTGTCTTTCCCTTGCTCTGACCGTCGGGACCGTCGGCTAGATACTTGTTACAATTCACTGTGTCCAAAGCAAATCCTCTCCCAAGCTACTCTGTTGGTTTTCTTGCTTCTCCGCTTTCCTAAACCCACCTTTTTCTTCCTGGTGACTCAGCTGCCAAGGAAAAGACTGAGACTTCCAAGACTGAGTGAAGCCTGGCATCTAATGCCAGCCTGTATTGCCACCTTTAATACCCACTGGTCACTGCTTGTTTGTTTGCATTTGAGCAGAATTAAACTACTTATTGGTACCTGGACATTTTTTTCTACTTTCCCCATTCAGGCCTTTCCTAATAGTTCCACTGATTAGCAATCCCCGTCTATTCCCCACTCTTTAAGTGTTCAAGTACATTTGTTACATTCAGCCTCAAACCCCATCTCCTCAAAGCTGCCATTGACTTCTCTTCCCAGCTAGGGATGTTCTGTCCTCGTTGGGTTCCTGCGGTCTTAGTGCATAGCACGTGGGCGCCTCTCTTTCTCCTCCTCGTAGAACCCTTTCTGATGAGAGTCTAGGGTCCTCGAAGTTAGTTAACTATGAGTTTAGGTCCCCTCATTGGACCTGCCATGGTGTCATGAGCATCAAAGCATTTGGTGACTACATCAATGAATGAATAATGTATTGTATCGAGATTATTCTTATACATATGAATGCTGATTACAAACTAATAAGCATATATATCTGGTTTGGGTACTAAATTAAAAAGTATTACTCTACCTAGGAAGGAAACTTATCTAAGAAAATATGTACTTGCCCATAGAAATTACGTTTATGATTTAACAAGTCAGTTGGAAATTGTGCTTTTGCCATGTATCAAGTTTTTTTTGAATTGGCATTTAAAGCAAACAGAACTAAAGTAATTACTTATTTCATTGAGTATTATGTAGCTGACTTGATCTCATGCTATTTTTGTCTTTCTTTTTTTGTCCATTTTCTCACCCTTCTATCACTCCTTTTTTGTTTTGATTTTATTAATTTAGTGAAAAGGATTTGGTGAAACAGGCAAAAACCTTAAATAGTGCAGCAAATAAACTGATCCCCAAACATCACTAGGCTATTTTCAGTCGGGCAGTGCAAGTCCAACATCACGACTTAATTATAGAAGGAAGAAACCTGAAAATCAATTATGTTTAAGCTCTGGTTCTGTAAAATGTCGCTGAAAGTTGACTGGGAATTTGCTGGACTTTAACCAACCACTTGGATCTGTCGATTGGGTTGTGTTTGTTTCATTGGTTTTCTTTCTTTTTTCACTTGTCTCCCCAGAATTAGAAAATTTGGTGTAAGTACCTGACTAAATGCCATATAGACAATGTGAAATTATTTCTGAGTTGACCAATCAATAAATCATGGGAGAAGAAAGAAAGAAAGAAAAACACCTAAAGAATTGAAGTCCTGTATAGATTTATTGAGACCCTTACAACTCAATCCTGACAATATCAAATTCTAGGTGCATTGTTCATGACTCTTATCAGTCAACTGGTTCAACCTTGCAAGATAATGAACTGGAGGTGAATACCTTGTGAACTTGGACTTCTCTAAAGTGGCTCTGTGTGTCTTAGTCATTACCTCACTTCTTTGTTGCATAGGTTGATTCCCAAGCCAAGGATTTAGTATTTCATGCCCCTACATTTTTATTCTCAGTAGCCAGGATTGCTTGCAACTTTTTTTTCTTAGTGACTTGAGGAAATCACAACACAACAGGATGAAGAAAATGTTATAAAATTGATTATGGGCATAATTTTTTAAAAAAAGCAACACAACAACAACAATAACCCCGCTTCTTTACATTTATTTAAAGTACACAAAGTTAGTGACTAGGTAATTTATAATAGCATAATAATGTGAACACGTGTGTAAACCTTATTATTTCCCATCTTCTACCTCTGCTCTTGTTATTTTTCTGTACTTCTTTCTATTTAGATAGCTCAGAGTAAAAAAATGAATAAAAATACTCCTTTACATAAACAGACTATCCATTTAAAAAATCTATTTTGTTTTTCTATTGCATTAAAGAGGCAAGGTATAGACATGAGTAATGGTTTCCTGCCTGTCAATCCTTGCTGGAAACATTTATTTAAGAGTTTCTGTTACTTTTTTTTTCTGGGGAAAAAATAATAATCTGATTATTAGAAATGCATTTCAAAATAGATAAGTTGTAAACTTGTATTCTTTATTATTAATTAGTCTAAAAAGTCAAGATTTCCCTTAGATACCTACAAGCAATATTAGCAGGGCTTCTTTTTCTAAGTGACTCTAAATCTAACCCTTTCTAAGCTTTAGGTTGTAAGTAAACCTTTACATACTTTGATTGTTTTTAACAACTTAACTGGGGGCCGGCAGGGTTGCCACAGCCTTCCTGCCCTCTGAAAGTCTTGGCGAAACACTAGCTTTTTCTCTCATGCTGGTGTGACTTGCAGCATTTCAGCTGCTTAGATGGGGACGAAGGTAACCCCTTGGCTTCCAGCTTTTGAAATCCCTATCACCTTCTTGGCAAAACCAGAATAAGAGTGAGGTGGGTTTCGTGTGTGCTTTTTTATAGTCCTTGCACAGACTTGAACCCGAGTCAAGTCAAAGAACATAATGTGCAGACCAAGTTTATGGAAGATCCTCGGCTCTTGAGGTTTTTTCAGTTATGATAATTTTGCACCTATACAATTGTACCTCTTACTGCATTCATACCTACATCAGCTAATGAGTTGCCTTTCTATGAGCATCTGGAAAGAATGCTCAAACACCAAAATGAAACTTTTGAAATGGAAGACTGCGCATAGCATGCTTCCACATTCTATTAAAGACAGCCCCAGCTGTCTCACTCTCGAGAGCGGCTTCTTTAGAGGGGCAAAGCCGTAGGAGATGCAGGAAAGCCTCATTGCTCAGACTTGTCCAGAGCACGTGGTCAGGAATCCTGTACAGGCCCAGCGCCGCCTAGTCTGTCCACTTGGTCACGCACCGCACGGCCAAACCGACCAAGGTTTTTCCTTACCTGTAACCCAGAGCCGGGGTGCAGGTTAATGTATATCGTCCTATGATTTACTACTTGTGGTTTAGGGAAAGGACCAGAGAAATGTTCTAATTCCACTTATAAGAAGGTAGCTACCCATTTGCAAGTTCTAGTTAATGTGTGTAAGACAGAAATGGAAAGTATCAAACCTGTTAGGAAATAAAAACAAGCCAAAAAAAGTGGACTTAACTTAAATTGTTGTGTACTTGAGGTTGGCTTTGGATATGGATTTTCTAAAACGTGATGTTTTATTGTTTATCATCTAATGGCTGTAAACTGTAGTGATAGAATAATAATAATAAAAAAATTGGAAAATCAGCTTTTCTTCTGCCTGGTTCACCTTCATCTTGCTTATCCTTAGAATGTTTCCTCAACATCTTTCTCCACCACCACCCCTTCATAATTTCTTCCCCTTAGTCTTACAACATTTTTCTGTCTGTCTCTCCTAACTTCCTTCCTTGGGTTGTTTTATTTTATGTTGTGAACTTGGTCTTCCTCCCCACCATGGCTTTTATTTTTTATCACAAGTTCATGTGGCTCACATCCAGATTGCGCCAGGCTGAGCGAGGCCGCCAGTCTGCTGAGTTGGACAACCGGCTCTTCAAGCAGGACTTCGGAGACAAGATCAACAGTCTGCAGCTGGAGCTGGACGCGCTCACCAGGCAGCGGTGAAGAGAGGGCAGCTTCCGCTGGCAGGGTGGTGGTCCTGGTAATGCCAGAGGCATCAGGGAGGGCCAGGGAGAGTCCCAGGACTGGCAGCCCTCTCAGTGATTAGTAGTGACCTTTTTCTGGAGTTAGAATTCAGAAACCTCACGTGTACCAACATGCCCCAAAGCTCATCAGTGGCTTTGTGCTGTGTGCCAGATGTTTGTGAAGCATTTTTCATACATCCTCACAATGTCCTCCTATCAGCTATATTACTGGGTGATATTACTGTCCCCACTTTCAGATGAAACTCCAGTTTGATTGAACTCCCTGTCCGAGTCCATTCTGACCCATAGCGAGCCCATCTATAGGACAGAGCAGAGGGAGCAGAAACCTGCATCTTGTTCCACAGAGTGGCTGGTGGTTTCAAACTGCTAACCTTGAGGTTAGCAGCCCGACTCTTAACCCACTATGCCACCAAGATTCTCTAAGGTTTAGAGGGGTTAAATTTCACAGTATTCACACAGTTAAGCTAATAAGGGGATGCTCTAATTTGAAAGCCTGCCTCTTTTGGTTCCGAGGATTATATCTCAAATGAGACTCACTTTCATGCTGAAACTATGGACTTCAAACAAATAGGCCTTTGTGTTGAATCGCCGAGGTTGTAACTGGGGTTGAATGCATAATTAGAAAGAGAGACCAGCTAATGTATATAAAATGGGGTGTTAGTATTAGTACTTTTATATTATATCTTGATGAAAATTTGTAAATACTGCCTTTCAGTTACGGTAATTTGGCATTTAGTTGAGAGCAACTCTCTATTAATAGTTGACAAAGGAATATCAAATATTCTGACTTTAAGTGTCAACTCTTAAGTCTATGAGACCCTAGAGTGATTCTTAATCATCCAAGAAAGATTTAGCATGTTTTGTATATTTTAGTGTTAAGCTATTGGGCTTATTTTATTGTACTTTAATGTTTCATTATATTGTATTTTAATGCTTTTAATTTTGGATTTCTGTATATCTTTTAACTTATTAATCAAGTATAAAAAAATACTTAAGCTTTAAGAAAAGGAATTGGCATTCTTCAGAGAATATGAGTCTAGAAATACAAATTTTCACCCTTTAACTCTTCCATCCACTCCAGGAACCAGCTTGAGTTGGAACTAAAACAGGAAAGAAGGTTACAAAACAGAAGCCTTCCAGGAAAGGGTCCACTGAAGACAGAGCCCCAAATGGTAACACTTGTTATCCTCTTGCTCATTTACATAGGCCCCCCCAGTGTGCTTTTGTGGGGCACATACTCCATTACTCCATGGCCTTGGCCTTCCTGTCTACAGTGGCAGCCCCAGAGGGAGAGCACATGCCTGGGAGGCAGGCTGGAGTCTGAGTTGGCCCTGCAGTCGCTCTCTAGCTTGATTCCGTTTGGAAAGGGGGATTTTAAGAACCATGATTTTCCTGGCCCTTTTATCCCTTTTGATTTGTTAAGGAAGAGTATCTTTGATATCGTAGGGGAAAAAAGTGTGTTTCTCAGACTCGTGCTGACTGAAATAATTTTAATTCTGGGCTATAATAATCCCTCCCAATCCTCAGTTCCTCCACAGCAGAATTTTCACATTTTCTTCTTATCCCATTTTTTCCCATCAACATTTTGAAGCCTTATAATGCATTGACAACTCCCTTTCATGACCCTTGAGAGGCCTAAGGGATAGACCTTAGGATAAGGGAGGACACACATTCCACACTTGGAAGCAGCTGGGCAGGCGGCAACCATGAAAGTTTATCCAGCAAGACAGGGCTTAGAGTCTTAAGTGCAAACAACACCCTGCGTGTACAGGCTGTAGCAGTTGGTGTGCCAGTGGACATCTAGTTGACAGAGTGTCCACAGGGTCACACAGTGCTGGGCGTGTCCTCAGCCATGCACATTTTGATCACCTTTTCAGAATTTTACCTAAGGGAGTGGAATTCTTTCTCCGAGGAAGTAGCTGATATCTTGAGCCCTTTATCTGCAAGTAAATGGGACTAATTCCAAATTTTAATCTCAGGAATTAAAATGATCTACTCCAAAAATGCTTTGTCTGTTAGAATAGTTTATTAAAAAACTGAACTACTTGGAGTAGAGAATGAAGAAACAGCCTTCAAAGTTTGATCTCTACCTCAGACAGTCTAAGAGGTGACAAAATAATAATAATTTATCAATTATTAAGGGCTCATGGGGGGTGTGACTGGGAGGGAGGGGTAAAAATGAGGAGCTGCTACCAGGGGCTCAAGTAGAAAGCAAATGTTTTGAGAATGATGATGGCAACAAATGTACAAATGTGCTTGACACAATGAATGGATGTATGGATTGTGATAAGAGTTGTAAGAGCCCCCAATTAAATGATTTTTAAGTTAAAAAAAAAATATCTCTAATTTTTATAAAAGCTACTTAGCTGAATACCCAAACATACCACACAAAAGCAAATGTCTACAGCATCACCATTGTTTAAAATTCCGAGTAAGTAGTAAATCGGGCTGTTTTCTTGTGGCAGGATGGGAAGCACAAAACTCCAGAAGAAAATGCTCACCGGAAAAAGTCCCTTGAAGAAAGTCACAGGTCAAGTATTAACAGAGCTTTCTGGTTCTCTGCGGAGGGTGGGGAGTAGGGGCGTTTGAGGTTGCTTGGCCCGAACACAGACCAGGTGCTGACTGCTGTAACGTTAACATGATGCCAGCAAAAAGGCCATTTGAAGGGAGTGTGACTAAATAACAAAGCAGTTAACGCAGATCAAGCCAAACTTATTGGTCCCTTCTGTAGAAGTGGTAATCCCTCTATCATTCCAATTCTTCCCTGATTCATATCCAAACTCTGATTATCACTTAAGATATTATTATTAATCTTTACTAGATTGTGTTGTAGAGTACAAAAGGGACCTCAATCTCAAGTATAATTTCAGAGAAATTTTGTTAAGTCTTAAAACGGACAAAGACCTCATTTGGATAAGGGAGGTCATTAGCCGAAGGTCATAATGGCATCCAAGGATTCTCAGTCAGGATGCTTGTTAAATAAGGCATGGGACAAAGGAAACCATCACAAATTC